AAGGAAGCAGAGTTGCAGATGGGTTTGCATCGAGCGGAACTCGAGCTTGGCCCTCGAGCTTTCAGGAGGCACATTGTTTTGGTCAATAGCATTTCACCATAGCTTACCTTTTTGAATGTGGAATGGGGGAAAAACGACTAATACGCGACCGGAGCGAGTGAAAATTAATTGCCACCTACTGTGCCGTGACTGTTCATTCACATATGGAAAACAACATCAAGATTTGGCCGGTTCTTGTAACGGCGCATAAAAAACCGGAAATAATTCACTTTTTGCCTTCCCTCTTCACCCCACAGCATGGCAAACGCGTGATGCAAATTATGTCGCGTGCGCGATATTCGCACCAGGATCTGATTGCTTCACCGTGACGGTACGGTGGATAACCAGTTAGTCAGGAATTACTGCAATTACTAACTATCACGATCGACCTCCTTTGTTACACGCTCTGCTTTCAAAACTGGCTGAGTGACCTTTTGAAGACTGTCATAGTCACCGCGCTCAGGTTCTTCGTAGTCACCCTTCCTTGTACAAGTAGTTTTGTCCTCAACTCTGGGATTACCCCACTTTCGGTGTGTCACAGTAAGTAACGAAGGTGCTGTGGTCCACATTAGTGGCAGTTCTGACGCCTCCCCAGGTGCCCACCCACCGGAACTCAAAGGTAACTTCTGTCATGGGTTCAATTATTGAACTTGAAGTTTTGGAGTGTTTTTCATTTTTTTACTGATAGACAGTGTTATTATTGGACTACTCGGAGAAAGGATTAGTGAGCCAGAGGTGGCAGGATAACGCTTCGCTGGCATAAGATGAGCAGTTCCGGACAACTCTTTCACAGAGTCCATCTTTGAATATTCTACATTGCAGAGGAGCCATTCTTCTGTACTCTTGTTTTCACACCAGGGTACAGCATCGTTGTGCGAAACCCATAGGGGGTCGTACTTGGCCGCTGGGGAGGGGGGTCGTAATCTCAAGGGTCACTCAGAGCCGAGCAATGGCTTCGACATTTCAGTTGATAGTGGGAGTGGAGCTATGGAAGTCAAGATGTTTAAAAAATGAAGTTTATTATGAGTGTATTCTTTACAGCTTTAAATGCTACGTTTAACAGCCCTCTTTTCATGGGAAATCCCCAAGAATGGGTTCGTACTTGGCCGCGGGGACGTGGGGAGTATCGCAAAAGTAGGCTCGCTAGGCATCAAACAGTACAAAGGTGTCATTGCTAAGGGTAATGGAACGGACGGAAAGCTTCAGAAGACCCGGATGTAAATAGGAATACAAAATAATAAAAGATTTATTAGCAATATAGCAAGAATAAATAAATAAATAAATAAGTGTCAGTTTATAGCATGAACTCGTAAGTACGTAGATGACTAAATAATACGTCTCAAACAGATTCGTGCGTGTTGTCCTTTACAAACCCTAAACAAACATCTGCTTGCATGGATAAAAGCACCTGAAATTAGAATTTACACCTTTCCACCACCTCTGCGTAGGAGCCTAATGCACGCGGCGCCCACGGATCAAATCGATCAGAGATAGCCGAGCTTCTCTTCCACTCATTCGAAGGGAAATATGTGTTTTGAAGGCACACTGAGGTGTATCCTCACAATGGCACATAAGGAGTCAATTTTTCGGGTGGGTCAGAGGGTGGCGCATCTGTGACCCATCTAAAATATCTCCTGAACTCTTCAGAATAACTGTAAAGCTTATTGGAAAGAGAAAAGATGGATGGGTTTCAGGACGACTTTAATTCTGATGAAATTGCACGTGCGCGCGTTTGAACGAAGCAATCCTCGCGTGAAGCATGGAAACCAGCTCGCGATTTACCCCTAGCCTATCCAAAACCCATCCGGAATATTTCACCAACGGGGGATTGTTCAGTTTGCAACTAGGTAGAATACACAATAGTAGAAACTTTGCCGTTGCATGCTGCTCACCATTCCTCAAAAGCTCCGCACCTAAAAAAGATATAACCCCCGAACAGACCCCAGGACGTTGGCAAGTCCAACAACCGCGCTCCAATGACGTTTTTCCAAAGAAAGCGGTCGCAGCCTTGCGCCCTGCCAGACCGGGTGATCGATGAGACAAAGTATGGAACGTCTTTACTGCCGCTGCTGGTTATTCCCTTTTTCAATTTAGCTAAATAAACATTTTTTGTTATATTTTCCATGTTTCGCTTTGTTGTGTCGTGCATGTTTTCATTATTTCCCCGTCACCATTCATTGAATGCACATCTGGGCCCTGACACGCTCACCTTGGGGCTATTTTTTCACCAATTCAGCCTATCAATGATCACCATTAGCCGCTATTTCAATTGTGTTTCTTTTACAAGTTGCATGTCATACATAGTTATCGAACGAGGAGTTTTATTTTGTGGGAGGGGGCCGACGGGGGCAAGGAGGGGCGGAACGGCGCGGCCGGGGGACGGGGCGGGGGCAGGGGGGGGGGGGGGGGAGGGGGCGGGAGGGGGGGGAAGGGGGGGAGGCGGGGGGGGGGAAGGGTGGACATCCGTGGGTTGGCGGAGGGGGCGGACGCGGGGGGGGGCGGGGGAGGAGGGGGGGTACGGGGGGACGCGCGGGCGGCGGTCAATCCTTAGATTGTAGGTATTTCCGAGTACTGTTGTTCAGCCTCATATTGCATGAGGCTGAAACAGCCTTTTATTTCCTGTATTTTAGAGCAGAGTGCGCCTTTCGAGAATCCAGATTCCATTTCAGGAAGTCATTTGTGGTGAACATGCATCTGGTTGTCAGTTAGAGCAGGAGGGGGGGGGTCGTATCTGGACCCTCTTCGAGGGGGGGGGAGCGTCCGTACCCACACCGCCATTTGACATCCCCATGCTGTACCCTGTTTCACACCCCAATCATTGTCAGTTATTCCAAAGTGGTATTTCGAAGAGATAATAGATTCAGTAGATTCAATACAGGATCCCAAGGGCATCAGGGAAGGGTCAAAGCAATAACAACTACCTTGAACGGATCTTCTCTATGTCAATGTCTAGAGCTACCGGGAAAGAGAACAAGACCTACAATAGTTGTAGAAAAGTAGTTCCAACTTTTCGGTCCAAATCCTGTCATCATGTGAGAAGAGGGTCTCAAGTTCCAAACTTACCATCAGTGTTCAGAATGGAGACACTTCCTCTTCTCGGCTTTCTTTTCATTCCCACTCTGGCATTTCGTGAGCAACATATCGGTGTCCATGGTCAACTCATGTGTGGAACTGCTCCTCTTATAGGGGCCTTAGTGAGACTATGGAGTTACAAAGTCGTGGGTTCGTTATCAATACAGTGTTTACAGGATGTCACCGCATTTAAATTTGAACGCAATCGCTTCAGGGCCTGGCCACGAGTTAGCCAATACCACCACCGATAGGAATGGACATTTTTATATTCAAGGAAAGGACTCTTCTTTGCTGCCATTGAATGTACGATTGAAGATCAAGCACCACTGCGAAACACCAACGGTAAGGCGTTGGCCATAATTCCCAGGAATTCGCCTCGAGCGAAGACGTCTAGGGGAATACCATACTCATGCGATCATATGGCACCTCGATACTCAGCGAGGGAGGAGGGTCGTATTTGCTTGCTGAAAGGGGCCTGTTTTCATGAGAAGTGGTGTGGAAATTTTGCAAAGTTATCGAGATTTTCCGTCTAGATATGTACAGTCCTCATCATTGCGGACCGGTGGGGCGTGTCAGCCAGTATGAGTGTGCACACTGTTGAAGCCGTTCTCAGCCTTTTTGTTGAAACGCGTATGCGACAAAAAGTGGTAGAAAACGAGTAATACGAAGGATATATACCATTTTCACTTTAAATCGGACACTTTTCAAACCAAATCGGACACTTTTCAAACCAAATCGGACACTTTTCAAATCAAATCGGACACTTTTCAAACCAAATCGGACACTTTTCAAACCAAATCGGACACTTTTCAAACCAAATCGGACACTTTTCAAACCAAATCGGACACTTTTCAAATCAAAT